CTCAACAATTTACTATAAGACGAAATAAAGAATAATTGTACAATTAAAGGATAACACGGTGAATAAAATAATAAATATCAAAAAAAGATCTATTGATATGTACGGTTCAGATCACTTCCCGCCATTGTCATATTACTTAATAATCCAATCGTTAAATAACTTAACTTTAATGCGAAATTATATAGGTACTAGGTACCTACGCATATAAACGCATGCATCGTTATATTAATAAAAAAATATTATTTTGCTGGACGTTTTTCAGGCATACACGAGTACCAGAGTATACCTACCTGCTACTACCTAATACCGATGTAGGTAAGTCTCGTCAGTTTCGAAATAGCTTTTTGGTTACACAAATACATTGCGGCACCTGCACTGTCGTTAATTACCAGAGACTATATTTTCTATTATATTAAATAAAACAATATGATTAACGATGTGCGAGTATGTGTGGTTAATGATACTTAATACAACAAGACAGTGTTATTGCATTACCCACACCATCATAAAACTCAATTAATAACACTGTACGTTCCATATAATATTATGAGAGTGGGAACCAAACGCAAAATATTGTAATTTTATAAAATTCTAGAATTTGGATGTGGACAAAACGTTTTTGGAATGGTTTTATTATTCTGGTAAGACAATACCTGCAACGAAACCGGAATCAAATGAATATTTATACTCGCGCAATAATGGAAGTGCAAAACGTAAACGATATATTTTTTTTAAAGATGTTTGAATAATTACAACAACATAGTGATTATCATAATATAGGTAGCAACGGTGAAGTAACACAATGGAAGAAATAAATAATATTTGTAAATTTACTTAGGATGCAAATAGAAATCAAAACAATGGACTGGCAGTGTAGATTATATGCAATTTGCAGTAACTATAATATAATATCATAGAACTTAGAAGGTCACTCCACATTATAAGGTTGGACAATTGAGTTATTTATTGTGTTCTATAAAAGATTATATACAAGTTATAAAATTTGAATGAGTTAAAACCAATGAATTTCCCATGTAAATGTTAATTTATTCCAAACAAATAAAACTTTTCGTAAATTAAAATGTTATATGGGTACAATTCTCATTAATCACACAGGTCTAAAATAAATATTCTTCATGAAAATAAGTTATTGATCCGTTTAATTATGCATAATATGTAGGAAATTTAAAACCAATAACCAAGACTTGTACGTTCTTCTTGCAAAAGTAAGAACAATAATAATAACTGTTCCTAAAAACTCGATTTCGACGAGAAGTCTGTCACCCTCAGAAACGCCGAAGAGGCCTTCCGCCTATTCTACAGGATGTTTGAGACGATCCTCCCGCTGGAGGAAGAGGAGGAAAGAGTTCGGCTGGCTGCCGAGAGAAGGGAGCCTTCACCGGATCTGGATGCCTGACTCACCCAGCCCAAGGAGCACCCAGGAGTTCGAGAGCACAGACCGGCTGGCTATGATAGCAAGCCGGATCACGAAGTCGGACGGAACGGGAATTCGAGCATATTCTTGAAAACTACTGGGAATTTTTAATGTTGACCTCTAAAATGCACCAACTAGATTCACAGAAAGATAGGTACCGAAGTGAGAAATCAAAGCATTATTTCGACTACTTATCGTGTAAACTATAAAAAGCTGAATTAAAAAGAGCACACATATCGTATCATTGTAAAATCTATTGATTAATCTATGTATTCATTCATCGCTCAGCTCGGCGCTTGGAATCTAAAAATATTAACGCATTGAAAAGGTACCAATATTTAATCATGTTGAATCTGAGCCCTTGATATTGCATCCATTGATATTGCTATATTAAAGTACCTAATTTATTTTACTAGGTATTTCGTATTTGTAGACAGGTTGGTATTACCGTATTGGCTTAATTTTTACTGAAAATATTGCATTTACAAAACAATTATACTATTAATATTAATAGTGACTTGTTGTCACTTGTTGGGTTATTAACCGAGTCAATACCGACAAGGAAAAAAAAAATTGTAAATGAACGGACTTGTTATAATAACATTATTTTCTGACTTTTCGAATTCGGTAGGCAGTGTAATAGTATGTAATAGTATGGATTGCATCTGCGGCTTTATCGATTACAGTGATCGTATATTATGATCCACCCGCACACACGTTAATATTGCATGCGACCACTTGGGTGATGTTATGCTCACTCGAAAACTCGGACGGTGTGACTATATTATATTGTGTCACATTATCCATATTCCTTATTGCAATTATCATCCTATAGATACCTGTGTTGTGCATAACGATGTACCGAGGACGGTATGTGTGCTGCACTTTTCGCCCGTCGTCTGGCCGGTTACTGCGGTCGGTCGGTCGGGCGACCGCTACAACAAAACTGCAGCGAGTACGCAGACATCATCACGAGGTTAGCGTTAAAAATCGTAACGAGTTGTGCTCCGACGGAGTCACGATCTCGATCTCGTTGCCTCGGCAGTATAATAATATTATAATGATTAGTTTTGTTTTTAAGGTTTTTTTTTTCCGGGCATCATTCCTGCCGCCCGCTCGCGCTCGTGGCACCGACACTTATGCCGTGGCGGTGGTACAGGTGACGTTTTAAATAATAGTCCAAATTGATTTTGGCCTTTCGACCGCAGACTCGGTTCGCGTTCGTGTCCGACCGTTCGACGGCGTCCTCGGCGGCGGCTCCTCCTCGTCGACGCCGCCGACGACGACGTGCACCTCGCGTATAGTCGTCCTATTTATATATATATATTATAATATACAAGTGTAATAATAATAATATGATCTAGATGATGATGATGGACGTGTTTCGTTATTCGTTGTCCGTCTCGGTCTTTATTCTATAATTTGGAGGGGGAGGGGAAAGGGGGCGTCCGCGACGGGTTTTATTAGTATGATTATCATCGCCGTGTCCATATAGATGTATATTATAATGTAATATTATTCTTTTTCCTCCGCTTTTCGCCATGGCTAAATATGATTATTAACGCGCGCGCGGCCGCGACGATGTATATTATAATATTATATAGGTACTGCCAGCGACATGATCGATAGGATCGTGATCCGATCTAATTTTAGGGCGGCCGAGTACGCATTATATAAATACGTATATAGGTATATATATATGTGGTATATGGTATACAGTTTTCGTCATCGCCGCCGCCGTGGTCTTCGCGTCTCACGCTCAGTACATATATATATATATACCTACTAACTATTATATATTATGCGTGAAGAAGAGGAAGAAAAATATATGTACGCTCAGCAAACGCCACCAGCGAGTTACCTAGGTATATTATATATATTATATAAATGCGTAATATATATATGTGGTGTGTGTGTGTGTGTGTGTACGAAATACGAGAACGGACGAATAAATCACCCGTCGTGACGACCTAATACGATTCCTCCTCCGCGGCCTATATAATATTATAATATGATATATAATGTATAATATAATAATATATACGTATACAATGTGCACGCGCTCGAGAACTAAAAACGCGCTAATAGATTCCGTCGGTGTCCTGTATAGGTACGCCTCACGTACCTACCTATAATATAATATACGTACAGCAATAATAATAATAATACGTACGATATGGTATCACGAGCAGCGGCGACCTTATCTCATCGTCGATAACGTCGGAATAAAATAAAAATATGTGTAAAGATATAGGTATAACCCATATCGTGGGTTGTGCTGCTCGTCCTCGACGTTTGGGGACGAAATCACGAATAGCCCCGGTGCGAACACGCACGTCCCGGCGAAGACTGTTTTTTTTTCTATCAATTAAATGCCTCTGCTCGTAAGTATATAATTTATAATATTACCTATATACAGTGTGTAAACGGTAATCGAGAACACTCAATATCTTTGTGTAGAGACCTGCTAATTGAATTCCGTTTTTTTGGCAGTTGTTATGACATAAAAATACACATTTTTATGGTCTTTGAATTTTTTTTACTTAATTAGTCACGCGCATGCGCATGTCAACTTTTTTTTTTAAATGGCAACCCCCTGCTTTAACCACTAATTATTTTTTGCCTATTTTTTTTAATGAATTTTGGTAGTTGAATCAACTTTCTAAGTCCAAAATTGACCAAGTTACAGCCAATCAAAAAAAAGAAAAAATTAGAAAAAAAATGCGCTTGATTTTCAGCTTTTTGATTTTAACTCTGAAAATAATTATTTTAGGATTGTTAAACATTGACATTTTTGTAACTATTTATTACGGTGATATTCATAAGTTATTTTAACATCAATTACCTACTGAATAATTTTCTCTTTAATTTGTGTAATAAATCATAATATAACTTATTATAGCAGAAAAAACGTAAATTAGTATGTTGTTTATTTATTTACATTTAATGGATCTATTAGAACGTATTAATAATTATTAATTAATAACAAATTCAATTCTTATTTAAGTTACCAATTTATTTAGTTAGTAAAAATCTAAAAATAAAAAAAGAAATCTAAAGAATAAATTGTTCAAACTGTTCTCTACCGTGAACAAAACATGATTCAGCGCGAGAAAATTATTCAGTAATTGAAGTTAAAATAACGTATGAATATCACCGTAATAAATAGTTACAAAAATGTCAATGTTTAACAATCCTAAAATAATTATTTTCAGAGTTACAATCAAAAAGCTGAAAATCGAGGGCATTTTTTTTTCTAATTTTTTTCTTTTTTTGATTGGCTGTAACTTGGTCAATTTTGGACTTAGAAAGTTGATTCAACTACCAAAATTCATTAAAAAAAATAGGCAAAAAATAATTAGTGGTTAAAGCAGGGGGTTGCCATTTAAAAAAAAAAAGTTGACATGCGCATGCGCGTGACTAATTAAGTAAAAAAAATTCAAAGACCATAAAAATGTGTATTTTTATGTCATAACAACTGCCAAAAAAACGGAATTCAAATAGCAGGTCTCTACGTAAAGATATTGAGTGTTCTCGATTACCGTTTACACACGTATAGTATAATATGCATATCTCGGTCGAAGCGTTTGGATCATTAATTTTCAGGGGAGGTGTTGGATTTCAACGAGAAGAATGTCGTTGCGTATCGACGTTTGGGGACGAAATCACGAATAGCCTCCGTGCGAACCGAAGTACGTCCAGCAAAGATTGTTTTTTCTTTTCAATTAAATACGCGAAAGTATACTTAATTTATGTTATCTATCATGTATATCTCGCGTTCGGCGTCGGAGCGTTTGGATCATTAATTTTTCTGGGAGGTGTTGGATTTCAACGAGGAGAATGTCGTTCTATATCAGCTGGGCCTAACCGATATATTGTATAGGTACCGGCCAACTCTATATTTTCTATACACATCGACGATACCCCGGTATTGGCATATTACTCCAAATAGGACGGTATTCGATCAGATATGAGCAACGGTGACCTTATCTCGTCGTCGATAACGTCAGTATAAAAAATATATATGAATACCTATGTCGTGGTGTATGCTCATCGTCCGAGGCCTCGCCGCGTCGCGACGTTTGGGGACGAAATCACGAACACGCACGTCTCGGTGAAGATTGGTTTTTTCTATCATTTAAATACACGTAAGTGCATAATTTATGTTACCTATATAATATTATAATATGTATGTATCGGTCGAAGCATTAATTTTCCGGGATGTGTTGGATTTCAGGTCCTAACCGATATATCATATAAATTATAAGATACCGGCCAACTATATTTTCTTTAGGTATATATTAATATATTATATACTGCAACAACGGTACGCCGGCATTGGTATTACTCCAAAAAGGACGGTATTCGATCAGATATGAGCAGTGGTGACCTTATCTCGTCGTCGATAATGTCAGTATAAAAAATATGTATGAATACCTATGTCGTGGTGTATGCTGCTCGTCCGGGTCCTCGACGTTTGGGGACGAAATCACGATTAGCCCCGGTGCGAACACTCACGTCTTGGTGAAGATTGTTTTTTCTATCAATTAAATACTCGTAAGTGTATAATTTATGTTACCCTTTATATTATATTATGTATATCTCGGTCGAAGCGTTTGGATCATTAATTTTCCGGAAGGTGTTGGATTTCAACGAGAAGAATGTCGTTCTATATAAGCTGGACCGAACCGATATATTGTATATAGGTACCGGCCAACTCTATATTTTCTATATACATCGACGATACCCAGGTATTGGCGAATTACTCCAAAAAGAACGGTATGCGATCAAGTAATATGCGCACCGTCGACCTTATCGTCGACGTCGATAACGTCGGTATAAATAATACATATGTATACCAATATCATGGTGCATGCTCGTCTTGGGAATCGTCGTTTGGGGACGAAATCACACGAATAGCTTCGGTGCGACGTCCCACAACGCGGTGATGATTGTTTCTTCTTTTCAAATAATATACGCGTAAATATAATTTATATTAAGTACCTATATATATCGCTTTTTCCGTTGAGATTAATTGTCCGAAAAGTGTTGGATTTCAACGAGAAGAATATCGTTCAATAATATTAGGGCCGGACCGATATAATATAGGTACCAACTATAGATATCAGCCAACTCTATTTTCTATACCGACGATACTGAAGTAGCGATACCCGACGGTATTAGTATTACTTCAAAAATTATGATATTCGATCCTTCGATATCGCAGAAAAATAAAAATCCACCAACGTATCACAAATGCTTGTACGGTTATTGTGTTTATTGATAACACTTAATAATATATTACATCATATTATCGGTTTTATCGGATATCGATTATTATTGGTAACATTACCTACTCAAGTACCTTCGTATTATACAGGAATATCAGATATCGGTAAAAAGTGGCATCAGTCCATCTCGATATTGAATATCGTCGATAAATAATCTTATATAATATAGGATATATTATACAGTGTAACTTTGAAGTAAACAAATTGTTAATTCATTATTACCTACTTGAAAAAAACTCTTCATATATTATATTGCAGAATGTATACGGAATACAATCAATTACAGAAAGATGACACAAACTTATCCCGTCGCGTTTAAACAGAATAATACAGCGTCCGACAAAGCAGCAGGAAGCAAAATACTTCAATTTTAAAAAATACCGAATTATTGAACAAACTAAATCTAAAAAAAAAAAAAAAATATTCGATCGTAAAATATATTTACATATTTAATACATGTTTGCCACTGACATTAAGTCTAATATTGTTTATGAGTTTATAATAAATAATTTCCATTACCTGATTCTAAATAATATTATTCCACATAGGTATACAAGTTATCAGCTGTTATTATAACAATTTATTTGCTAAAATATAATATATTAAACTGGCCAGCTAAAGGCGATAAAGTGTACTGTGCGATGTCGGTAAAAAGGGAAACGGTCTCGGGATTACGTATACCTACACCCATAAGCATAATATTATAAGCTATAAAGTATGAAATAGTGGACGAAAAAAATCGATTACTGTGCTGATTAAAACAGGTGTGGTGTCTGCCTGTATGTTATCGATGAAGCCAATTATTATATTATTTTTCCAACGGATGTGACACGAAATATAACGAGACACCTCGGACACTGTGAACAAATACCTACAATATGATACAATATTATGATATAGTTCTTCTAATCGATACGATGAGAAATAGTTCATTTCCGTTGAAAACCGATAAAACATTTCAATCTCGGTCGTGCAGCTGCACTCGACGAGTACATTATTATTATAATATGTTTGCAATAAATATAAATTATAAAACTCGGACGGTTATCGAAAACCCGCACAGAGCGTTGTTTCGAGTGGCCGGGGAGTGGGGGTTGGTACATTTCAATAAAATCGTTTTGATTTATATTATAGTTAAACGGTTTATTTTTCAATCGTTGTAAGTAATAACATTGTGTTGTAAAGATATTATTTCCAAAGGAGCTTAAAGATAATATTAATTTCAGCACAACGCCGTAATAACAGAGTAAACCACCTATAATAATCGAACACGGATCATTATATTTTCGACACTAAACATGATACGTTCCGTTTTCTAGGTCATATCATTTTTCTTCCGACAGTCCGATACGGCACGTCTACTGCACCGTGTTATAAAGTTATTTTGCTAATGGTGTATAGGCTGATAAACAATATTATAATATTGATATGGTTACCGTCAGACTACTTTACAGCTAAGCGAACGAACATACTATTATTATCATTATTGTAGTTTGTACAATGACGACTATCCCGAGTACAATATCGTTTTGTTCTTGATATTAATATTCTTTTATGAAAACAGAAATCATGACTTGTCACACTATGCCATGATATACTACTAAGCAACTATTATGATAGTTCGTTTGGAATTCGATTTGAGTTTTGCACTTGATCCGTCGACTTTCACGCGTGTATAGTACTATTGATCACAACAACTTTATAATGTTATAACTTATAGTATATTATTTTATAATCAATGATGATGGTTACGAGTATTTGTATATCAGTATAATATTATATCTATATGTTTAGGAGGTACCTACAACTTGCAACAGACATCGTGCTTTGAATGGGACTTGTAATTATGCTGGCAAATTATCTCGACGATTATTATAACCTTACAATACCTGCAATACGATATATTGTTCTCTGGCGTCCGCTATTTGCACGTTGGTATAGGTAATAGCTGGTAACACAGGTATATACCTGCTATAGATTTCATTGAACGAGCGATTTCGAACTTGAAAGCCCAATTACGCATAATATATAACAATAAGGTGCGCCGTACCTATTTCATATATATATTATATATATAAATTAATGTTTGTCTGTGTGTCAGTGATGTGTGTCCTGTTTATGCATTCTTAAACCGTTCATCCGATTGCGATGAAAATATGAAATTTGGTACAGATTATCTATCTTCAGATAGATTAGAAGAACATGGGCTAATTTAAAAAAGGGTAAATTAGAGGTCCGTCTCGGGAGGTGCTCATATATCAGGGATTTTGAGATTTGCGATGGAAGTGTTTGTTTGTAAGTGGTTGTTATTGATTTTAATAATAATTAATAAATATTTATAAATATTAAATATTTTTTGTTAATTTATTGTATTGATCCGCCATAGTATGAATTAAGTAAAAACGACAAACTTGGTATAACTTTGATAATTTAGAGTTAAATTATACACTCACGTACAAACCACAAGAGGTACGCGATCTATCGCAGGTAGATTCCTTACCTGATAGGGTAATATACTGCTGCGAATCTCAAGGACAACGTCGGTCGGGATGGCTATAGGTACATTAAAATATAACATAATTTACACTAAAATGAAATTGCTTCCACAGCGCGTTACACCCAAAAGGAGTTGAACAATCGGAATTTTTTTCCTGGCAATACTCCGAATAATTAAGCTAGTTTAACACAATAATATAATATCCAATAATATTTTTCTTCCGAAGACATTTCTAACGTCGTGACCGGTCGGGCGCACGTTCGCCGCCGCCAAACGTCGTTTATTATACGACAACAATACGAGACGTAGACGACGATCGATGGTTAAGAATACAGCCGGAAGACCGATGTGGTAAAGTAATTAAAGAGCGTTTTCGTAGAGCGTATTGGTCGCACCGAACTCGGACGTCGATAGAAATAAGAATTAATGTAATATAATATTAGCGTGAGACGACTCGTCGGTCAGACTGTACGATTTGCCTTCAAATTGGTACCTACACGTCGATTTATGTCCGAGATCATACTTTATTTATTTTGTTTTAGCTAATTGTTTAATAGACGTTAACGATGGGTTTGACAAAAAAAAAAAATTACAAATACATAATAAAGCTATACTGCAGAAAGATGGAATTCTGCAGGTCCTATCAGGATACAAGTTTAATATTGTGTAAAAATTTGATGTTGCCATTCGCAACATAGCTGACCAGTGACCATATTGTATAAAAATGTTACCAGAAGCATACCTATATTACATAATATTCATATCATCACAGAACAGAATGTTTCACCTAATCTGTGGTTTCTTAACTTGGGAAGAATTGAATGACTGATAGTTCTTATTCCTGCTAGTTAATAGTCATTTTTAAATACTACCTAAATAAAGTATTTTAATTAATCCGTGGTAATTGCCAACGGAGACATAACAAGCGACTCTACATGAGTAACCATGGTTGTTTGGTGTTTTAATATTATTTACAAATACAACAATTACAATTTAATATAACATTTATTTATTAGTTTATTACACAATGGGATATTGACTCCCGTTTTTTTTGTTTTTATCGATTTGCACCACAAATTTAAATTTCTGAACACT